CCCCAAATAGGATGCAGCCCCCTCAGATGGGCTACGGTCCCCAATGGGCGTACAGCCTCGTGGAGGCCCCCTCCTCACCCTGCCCTCTCCGGGTGCCGCAGGAAGCTGGACGCCTTCATCTACGACGCAGCGGTGCTCAACTACATGGCCGGCAAGGACGAGGGCTGCAAGCTGGTGACCATTGGCAGCGGGAAGGTCTTTGCCACCACGGGCTACGGCATCGCCCTGCAGAAGGACTCCCGCTGGAAGCGGGCCATCGACCTGGCCCTGCTGCAGTTCCTGGGAGACGGTGGGTGCGCGCGCCGAGCCGAGCCCGACCAGCTTCTCGTTAGCCTCTTCCAGTGAGCTGTTTGCTCATCCCCTCCCCAGCGCTCTGGCTGGCAGAGAGAAGCTGATGGTTTTATTTTAAAGTGTATTTATTTCAGTCTTGTAAAGGACAACGTGAGGGTCTTCCAGCCCATGGAAACCCATTCTGGCACAGCAAATTAACCCAGGGACAGCAGAGGATGAGGCTTTGCCATCTGTCCGCCCCTGGCACGGGCCATTTTGGTCTCTGGCACCCTTGGAGGGGCTCAGACCCTGCTGTTGGCTTGGAGACTGCTATGCACAAAATATAGCTGGGGAAGGAGAAGGAACAGCATGGGACAGGGAGTATGGCCAGCCGGCACGAGGGAGGAGGGAGACGAAGGAGCAAAGGGGAGAAAAGAGAAGGGAGAGGGCCCAGGAGAAGGATGAGCATCTCGTGAGATGCTCAGGCCCTGGACAATGGCAAGGGCTGAGTTGACACCAGTTCCAGGGGGTGATTTTGTCCTCCTCCTCCAGCAATGGTGATGGGCAGGGACTGTACTCGGGGAGACGGGGCCTGGGTGGGACTCTTTCACCCCATGCTTCTGTGCGTGTGCGGTCCCAGGTGAGACGCAAAAGCTGGAGACAGTGTGGCTTTCGGGCATCTGCCAGAACGAGAAGAACGAGGTGATGAGCAGCAAGCTTGACATTGACAACATGGCCGGGGTTTTCTACATGCTGCTGGTGGCCATGGGGCTGAGCCTGCTGGTCTTCGCCTGGGAGCATCTCGTCTACTGGAAGCTGCGGCACTCCGTCCCCAAGTCCCACAAGCTTGACTTCCTCCTGGCCATCAGCAGGGTGAGTGTGTGGCCACCAGGGACTCTTGGGGTGCCCAAATTTCCTCCCGCTGGGCCGTGGAGTTGGGCAAGGCTTTATGTACACCTCTTGGACCAGCGCAGGGCTTGCTGGTGCAGATGTTTGATCAGGGGATGGCGTTGCTGGGGCTGCCAGCAAGCAGGTGCTGGGACAGAGCCTTGGTCTTCCTTTGTTCGTATGAGGAGGCTGGTCTGTGGGATGGGGGAGGGCAGCAGGACAGGAGTTGCTCCGCGATGGGAGCAGGGGTATGGGTTTTTCCCTGGCCAGGCCATGTAGCTGGTGTTCGTAGGGTCCCTGGTGTGTAGAGCCATTAAGATGGAGGCTGTGGCACGTGCAGAGATCTTGGCTTGACTTTCCTAATAGCTGGAGATCTTGCCTTGAGTGGTGTGATCTCAGGCCAGCTTTCTCAGCCCATCTGAACCAGCCATCAGTGCTGGTGGCATCTGTGGATCACGTGCAGAAGGACGGGCCGGGCTGGTGGGTACAGGACATGGCGCTCCAGTTGCTCTGCTGATGGGGCTGGGGGGCGTCCCCCTCTCTCCGCAGGGCATCTACAGCTGCTTCAGTGGGGTCCAGACCCTGGCGAGCCCCGTGCGGGCACCCACCC